CAGCAGCAGCAGCAGCAGCAGCAGCAGCAGCAGCAGCAGCAGCAGCAGCAGCAGCAGCAGCAGCAGCAGCAGCAGCAGCAGCAGCAGCAGCAGCAGCAGCAGTAGTAGTAGTAGTAGTAGTAGTAGTAGTAGTAGTAGTAGTATCCAGAGGAAGATCGTTGTCCCGTTTTGATTTTTCGTATGTGCATTGTTGGGCGGTCCGTGTCATAATATTGCTATGATATCATGGTCATTCTTCTCTTCCATATTCGGTGTGTTGAAAAGGTACACTACTACTTAGTGAGGCAGGCTACTGTACTAGGTAAAGAGCAATTTGCATCCCTGTCAAGGTCTGGTCATGGTCTTCCACTCCTTGCTCTTGCCCGTTGCCACCATCAGGCGCTCCAAGATGGATGCAGTACGTGAGACGGAAGAGGGAACTACTTGATGACATTCATGCTTTTCGGCGTTCCGTTGGGACGCAAGACACGCCAACGCCTCTGCAAAAGTTAACCATGACGAATCGAATCGGAAATCTCGATTTCTTAAAACATCATAATGTCTGTCACACATTGTACATGCACAATTTAACACTATTATTACTTATCTTTCCTGACTAACACGTCTATGCACCCACAAAACATCCACAACCACGCCTTGGAAATGATTCATGATCGAGCCGTAGCGTTCCACGACGAGTATTGGACAATTTGACGTGCGTGAGCGTAGAGTCCCATCGTGGCCGACAAAATCAAGTACAAGGGATAGATTACAATAAAACCAAGCATGGCTCGCCATGAGGTGAATTCAGATCGGACCATTTCCGTCACCGCAAGAGTGATGATCAAACATATGATACTGTGAAGAATTAGCCTTCGATCATAATTTCCGTATCGGGTACGTGCAGAACTGTGCAACTCACGTGCTGAATAGAAACCATGTAGCCATCGGATACTGGAAGAAGATAAGGTCTACCAGTTGGCTAGACGATTTGGGGAAGTGAGTGATGATGAAGCTGATGATCAAGCATGTATGCTGCGTGACAAGATAATAGCTGATTTCTCGGATGAGCAGCAGTGACAGAACCCCAAATCGTTGGTCAAGACCTCGCCTTCCACTTGGCGGTTGATTCCACACAAGTGGCATGTGCCGATAGCTGGCTTGCGTCCACCCCTGAGCCCACCTCAGTCTCTGGTTCCAGAACGCGGCGAAGTGATTGGGTGCCATCTCATAAGAGATAACGTTGAGATCATGCACCGCTTTTTTGTTTTGGGCGTAAGCGCGGAGACCTGAGTCAATGTCCTCGGTCAACATGGATCCGTCCATCTTGATCTGGCGTAAGACTCCTGCTCGCCAGTAACCATTGGAGCCACAGAAGAGACCAAAGCCGTACATTCTACTCCTGCCTGGATGCGAAGTAGCATAGATCTTGTCGAACTCGATCGCGATCATCTTAGCATAGAAAGATTCATCGGTGTTGTAGACCACACATCTACCTTGAACAATGTCAACTGTAGGATCCGCTACAAACCGTTCCGCCGCCCATCTCGGATTGTGAGGATGTGGAAAATGATCGCAGTCGAAGATTGAAATGATTTCCGCGTTGGTATTAAGCGTGAGAAAGTGATTCAGATTGTCTGCCTTCGACTTTGAATTGGGAACTTTAACGACTCTAAGTACGTGGTACTGTTTGGTCATCGCATGAAGCTCGGTCTCGAGTGGTTCTATCGGCATCGGACTATTGTATAGAAGGTTCACTCGTATCCTGTTCCTCGGATACACCAGCTCATCCAGAGCATAATGCAGCTGATCTTTGACAATGTCTTTTTCGTTAGGAAGATATGCGACAATGATGAGATCAAGCATTGGCAGCTCCTCGTCTGGTGTAGGAAACCTTCGACCGTTGCCCTCAATTCTGAAAGCCTCCTTTCTAGCTTCACGAATCGGTGTCATTGCTAAGAATGCTTCAACGACACAGGTCATTGCGATGTAGAAATTGGTACACATATAGAAGAAATAGAAGACCGTAATCTGCTGGTAAGAGCAAAAGACGTAGATGGCGGTGGAAACGATGTAATAGGTTACAACAAGGGTGACTGGTGTCCAATCGATTAACCAGTTCGAGAAACGAGACATGAGCCTGTCCAAAGCACTGAAAGATCGTTTGATGGCGGCCACACGACTCATACCGTAGCCGTTGTCGTCGCCAGGTGTGCTGTTGTGCCATCTAGGCAACGGGAGATGCTTGAGAAAAGACATACGAGATACAGGCCAGCTGCCGATAGAACTGTAGAATCGCAAATAGAGAAGCGTAAATGGAACAACAGAGACACTTGCAGTGCTTTTGAATCTTGACTGAATGTATAGTGGACGAGAAGGGTCTGGAATTAATCTGTCCTTAAGCTGTGTTTCAAATATACCTTGGTAGGGGGGATTCGTCCCCTTTCAGAGCCGTGCGTAGTAGAGTCCTGGACCCTCGCTGAATCACGGAGATCAGCATCCGGGCTCTGTTCAACGAGGCCCAGGTGAGGACATGAAGACGGGGCTTGATATAGCTTGCTTTTGAAAATTCCCGATCGACAAAGGATTGGTGGCCCTGGTCGCTTTCAGGACTGGTAGACCGAAGATGCATGACCCAAAAAGGGAAGAGCCGGATGCCTCAAGTTGTCTAAGGCAGCAGTCGGTCGACAGAGAGGAATTACTATGCTAGCTTGGATCGAAGCTCGAAAACTCAGATGATCATGGCTCCATGCGAGTAGACACGGCTTTGGGGTCAGCCCGCCTCTCAATAATCCAAATCAGTCCAATACTGAAGATGTACGTGGTATGTTATCCCGAAGACCACAAAGTAGACTGGCGTGCTACTACTACTGGTAGCTTGCTTTTTCAGTACCTGATAACGTCACAACCGATTCGGCGGCCATAGGCGCAAACGCTTCATGGGACCTTCGCTCCTGTCTACCCTGACTGCCTGACGAGCATGGTACTCCTATGGACGGAGTACTGCCTCAAGAAGACTAGACAGAGCAAGTAAACGACCACGCTCTGAATTTCGAACTTGGAGGAGGTCAGCTTCAATCCCACCGTAAGGATAAGATGTTGGGTAGAAGGCATCTGAACGAAGAGACTAGACAAATGCTTCTGCGGCCTGCTGTTCGCTGATGATGTCATGTTCAACTCGAGTTCAGCGAAACAACGCCAATGTTGACAGGCATTGATTACATACTCGCTAGTATGTAGCAAAGCATAAAAGCTGGAGTCTTTACCAGCTTCCAGTCATGGGCATATCAGGTACAAAGCACAAAGAGCACTACTATGCAGTACATCTATCATTCCACCAAAAGGACGGCGCTTTAGGTTTTGAACTCAGCCGTTGGATGTAGATCTAATTGGTACACACTAGTACTCCGTACCCATGTCTGGCTTTTTGGTCAAGATAGGTTTAGTGGCTAGGGCGAAGGTGTGCTGGAGGCTTGCTCAGCTAGCAAGGACCTCTGGACTCTTATCTCTCGAGACTCACAGGGACTGTAAGTCAAAGCCACCTGTTTCCTGTTTGGAGCTTCAACCAAGCTAAACGTTGGCAAGCGTGCTCTCAAATCTGTCCGTAAACTGTGGATTGCACGACGATCACGTGTGTTATTTTCGAGGGTTATTGATGGCCAAGACACTCTGTGGATTGATTTTTGATGTCGTCCTACTACGGGGGCCCTGAACTAATGTTAGTCTAGCGCTAAGAGCAACTAGTTCTCATTATGACAACCTAGTGTTATGATTCGCCACTTTAAAGCTTGTTCTGTGTGCATTCATTCTGATGAGTCAAATCATTACATCTAACTTTTTTTAGGCATAGCTGTTCTGTGCAGAGAGTGCTTACAGGTAAAGATACTAGCGGTGAGCTAACATTACTTCAGGCTTCCCCCTGTAGTACGTACCATAGTACTAGTAAAGTGATCCTAACCAACTAACCCTTAATGGGCATCAACAGGCCCTAGGCTACTGGCTAGTTCGTACACTACGCAGCACGACTAACCCTATTTGTGGTGAATAGCTTTTAGTGTCCGTGCAGAAATCCTGAAAAGGTGACAGCATAGCGCTAATAGAAAGCGTAAATTTTGTCTTTTCCCAGGACTCGACCGAACAGACCAGAGGCCGACCCCGGCCGAAACAAGTAGAATTGAAGATTTACAGGATTGATGACTGGACAAACCCTGATGTGGCGAAGACGGAACCTCGAACCGGGACCAGTTGGCTAATAACCTCTGTCTATTAGCGCTACCAAAGGCGACAAAATACCACTCCGCCACGGATAGCGCTAATACGAACTAGGAATCGAACACTAACATAGCCCGCCGTTTACGAGCACAGTACCCGCCTTCCGCCAGAACCCCCAAAGAGGCACGAGCAAAGAGCACCACGCACTACGAAGTTACCTAGGACAGCGCTTTTAGGTTTTGATCCTAACCGATAGTTACGTACTAGGCTAGTCGCATCACAGCCTTCTTCTTAGTGCAGTACCATCAGCACAATACAAAGTACGTACCCTGTACCGAGTATCTATTCAGTGTTCAGTTCTCAGGGCTTTCAACTTGACTTTGCTGAGACCGTCTAGGAAGACGCCACGCCACGCCAGCACAGATCACGGCGAGTAGCCTTCAGCCGCTGGAGAATCAACCTTCAAAGTAGTCAAGAACTTGTGGATGTATCCTGATATTCACCCACAGCGTCTACTCCACAGTCAAGAAAGCTCTCCATAACTGGGTCTTGCTGTCATCGCCACTGATCCTAAGCTGCTACGAATCACAAAATCCATGCCACTACTATTTCACAACGCAATGGCATTCCGCTGCCAACTACTACGTCGTAATGAATGCGCTAATCATCCACTTGATTCGCCTCTGACTAACTAGCATCAACCGGGCTTTTCCGGCCTATACATTGTTACAGTCTGATCAGGTAGCCGCAGAGTAGCTGCTGCATTCTATTTACCATCTTCATTCCTCCCCTACACATGCCTGCGCTGTCAACCTTCTTCAATACTGTTCTCTTAACACAGGTGTAGTCATCTCGCCGGCAAAGTTGAATATGCTGACATTATTGCTCTTACTCGGAACGACACTTGCCCAGAATATCACGCCAGTTGGGCGCTGCCGCTGTGGCTATTACGATGCGATCACCCATCAAACATTCACAGAATCAATCATTGTCTACTTCAACGAGACAACAGAGCTCCCCCAAGATGTGTTGTCCGTGCAGGAGTATTCCCACGAGAAGGAGAAAGGCTCTTCTGCCGTTTATCGGCAAGGTGCTCGATCGGAGAACGTCAAAATAGGCAACAGTTCGACCGTGCCTTGGCTCCAATACAAGGTCAACCCCAATTCTCTTGAGCTGTTTGTTGACCCCACAACCGAGGACCATCTTGTGGTCGGCGCTGGGGTCAACTCGCGGAGACAAGATATCATTTTCGGCTCTTTTAGGGCCCGAATTCAATCGCCACAGCCCTGGACAGGTGGCAGCGCCTTGTCGATGAACCTCATCTTCAATGAAAGCCAAAGCCTGGAGTTGCATGCGCTGAATGCAGATAATGCCAGCGATGCGCACCTGACATACTTGGTGAATGGAGAGTACCCTGACCTGCTTCTCAGCACCAACTACACGAGAATCAGGGATGAGTCCACACCTCCGGTTTCTCCATGGGATTTTATAAATGTGCGCATTGACTGGATCGAGGATGCTGTCAATTTTACTGTGGCAAACAATGTCACACGCGCCATTACCAGCAAAGACCGTGAAATTCCTAGTACGCCATCTCACCAGGTATTCAAACACTGGTCGACTGGGGATGCGAATTTTATGCGAGGACCACCCATAAATCGCTCTGCTACGAATATCGCATGGATGCGATTGTTTTTCAATTCGTCACTGATGAACGCTGAAGGACACCGGAGATTCGATGCACAATGTTCAAAGGAGGAAATCTGTAACATGGACGATATTACGTTGCGGGGCTCATCATCCTACGCTCCACAGGCACTGATACCCTACGAGGAACAACCACGCAACATTAAATTCAGGATTCCTGCCGCTATTGTCGCAACTATCGGCGCTTCGTTTGGATTTGTCACTCTTATAAATGCTCTGATTAGTAGAGGTTCTTGGGACAGGTTTGCGCGGCTGGTCAAGTGCCGAGGGCGAAAACGGTCGTTGGAGAAGCAGCCAGAGGTTCTTTCTAACTCTACAAGTGCCTCAAATATTTGTGAACCGGAGTTATCATTCGAACCTAGCAGCAGTGCTAGCAATGGAAATCATCACAACGGTTCATTTGATTCGGACCCCGATACAGATCCACTTGATTCACAAGGAGCAGCACGAAATGCAAGCGATATCGAAGTCGACATTAGTCTAGCAAACGCAGAGAACACCAAGCCGTCCATCCTTGACGGAATGCCATCGAGAGGCAGTGTTCAGTTGGACATCTCCATACGAAACAGCTCAATAAAGCAAAAAATATCCTCACTGGCCGATCATAGAGCTTCACTCTTCCAATGTCGGACATCTCTCACTGAGCGCAGGGAATCCATTGCAACTGAACGCAACGCTTCTGTTACTGCCCGTGAAGCATTTCTGAACGGGCGCCGGGCATCTTTGGGCCAGCGGATCGGCGCCATGGTCGAGCACGGAACGTGGCAATTAGCTCAACGACGAGCTTCCATCGCAGAGCGAAAAGCATCGATGGCAGAGCGCAAGGCGTCACTATATGAGCAAGCCATAGAAGAATTGGTCACCAGAATAGAGACTCAAGAAAGAAGGAGAAGCTCTGGCACTGATCATGCCAGATTCGGTCGCCAGAAGTCCCATTCTTTTAGCGGCATGCCATCAGAGCTTGTTGGAAAAGAGCCAACCATCGAGATAAATCCAAAGAGCTTTGAGATCCTGAAAATACCAGCGAAGGAGATTATGTCCCAACAAAGAGAAGAGGCAAGAAGGGTGCTGTTTAAGATCGAACAGCCTTCCTTGATCAATCCCGATTATGTCCTGCGCAAAGACAAACTCGAACAGTCCGGTGACCTCTCAAACGCTACGTCAAAAGTCATTACTCCCATTATGCCGCCCAAGAAACGAGTAGACTACCTCGCCGGTCTTGTCGCGCTGTCATGTATCATTGTGACATTTGTCCACTTCACACTGACATTTATACCATACGTGGGCGGTTTCGGCACCGGCCAGCATTACTCGTACGAAGAATGGGGACGCCGAATCGCAACACCCTATTTCCTGGGGCATACCTGGATCGGACTATTTTTCACAACTGCGGCGCGCTTTCTGGCACAGAGATATCTTCAGGAGGGCCAATTGTCCAACATTGCAAACCGGACATTACTCCGAGCTCCGCGCATTCTCATCCCTGTCGTTATCATCGCTATGATAGAGTACTTCATGATCGATCTAGGTCTCACTGGTTCGCTGCAGTATCTCCCATCGATATCTTGGTCAACCTGGCCGCATGTGATCAAATACCCCAATTTCGGATACTTCATTAACTCCATGATTGAGCTGGCTTTCCTGATTCCCAACGCAGCGCCACAAGTGGTGAATCATTTTTGCGTTGGTGTTCTCTGGACCATTCCTGTCCAACTGCAGAATTCATACTTGGTTTTGTTAGGCGCCGTCATGGTCAAGGACATCAAGAAGCCATGGAAGCGTCTCGCCTTTTACACCTTCTGCATTGTCAATCACTGGTATGCCCTCTCATGGGGATCCTTTTTTTGGCTGGGGCTTGCCGTCGCTGATCTAGACATCACCTACAAGTGGATTAAATTGCTTCAGGCTCGACCAGTCGTCCACTACCCGTTTCTAATCTTGATGTGCATCATCGCCATTGCCGCTCCAACATTCAACCTTCTACAGGATCCACTCGGCTATCCCATCATCAGCAGTGAAAGGGGCTGGCATCCAGATCATGAAACAGGCTTGCCCGTGGCTCAGACACCTAGGGCGGGCTATCCGAATTATTACGAGCCTCGATTGAACACGCTGATATTCGCAGGCGCTCTTCAGGTCATCGTCGAGCTAAGCGCCTGGGTTCAGTGGTTCCTGTCACTGCCTGTATTCACCTGGCTCTTTCCCCACATCATGACGATCTATCTTATCCACGGCTTCGTTTTCTGGAGTCTGGGTGCGTGGCTCTGTGTTACGCTCGCCGTCAGGGGCGTGCCGTATTGGGGAAACATGCTCACCGTCGTGATTGTCTCTTATTCAGTGTTGATGCTGGCCGCGGTTCTCCTGACCATCATAACGGAAAGGCCGGCTCAGTCTGTATGTCGAAATATGTGGCGCTGGGCTTCAGAAGAGCCGATCGCTAAGCTCAGCACGCTCTTTCCGTATCCGAAGGATCAGTTCTCGAACCGTACCAAGAACGATCACAAGGACAGTCAGGACACAGAGTGACCTCGAAGCCAAGTCAGTGTATCCATCAAATCAATCAGTCAATTTGAGGCCTCCATTTGATTTGATTACGTAATCGAGGCCTTCGGTTTGATTTGAATTGACTCATTTGTCAAATGAGTCAAACTGTATGTAGATATCCTATTTCGGCTTCTTGATCGACGACGAGGAGGAGCAGGAGGAGGATATATCTGTATTCTAGCTAATAGCACTTGAATAGAACCCCCTAGCGCTACATACCATCATCCATGTCTCGAATAACCTTGTTGTTGTACCAATTTCAGAGACATTCGGACCACTCAATTGTATCAGGGCTCAGCCTGTTACGATTTGGCGTAATAAGTAGCTTCGCAGAGCTAAATATGCGTTCGCATTCGGCGCTTATCGCAGGGATAGCAAGGATAGTGTACGCAAGAATAGCTAGAAGAGGAAATGAGGCCTCTTGTTCTCTCCACCAAGTAATAAGGTTTTGAGGCGTTGATTTGAGCGCAGGCAGTTGACAATAGGCCATATATGCGTCAGCAATCTCATCTTCATTGCCTGTTGACTGGCTATAGGCTAAAAAGCTTTTGAATGAGCCTTTTTGAGGGGACAACTGCTTTGTAGAGGGCAGCAGCTGCTCCTCATCGACTGCTTGCTCATGCTGTATCTTGTATCTGCTCCACAACGCCCTCATCTTCTTCTTCGCCTCGGAGATCCAGTATCTGTTATTCTTGCAGTGGATATCAAAATATCTCCATTTATGAGCAGGGTTGAGGACGATAGCAGCGACGTAATAGGGAGAGAGATCGGTTACTTCGTAGTCAGATGGAGCATCTGAAAATGGACTCAATGACAATCGTAAAGATCGATCCATATTATTAAAGATAACTTCGTAGAAGTACTGCGTTGAGTAGTAATTTGTGGTCAAAGTTCACTTATAGTCTTTGATATAGAATTCGTGATTTATGGAGAACAATAAATATTTTATTTTCACGTACACATATTACCGAAATAGATAATAAGCTTAACACCAGCATTAAGCATTAAGATAGCTACATCGTTTACATCGATTTCTCCACTAATTACTGGTCAATTCGGCTCAAAATTGGCCCAATTGTCTTTTACACTGTCACAGGTTGCACCTGTTACGAAGACTCGAGCTATGATATGCGCTTTCGAAGCAGACCCAAGCTCAGGTCGACGCAGATCATTTGAATTCAGGGAACGATACCCCGAAATTCTATAAAGTCACGTAATACCCTTATTTCAAACGAACTCCTCTGTATAATAAGATCTAGCATGACAACTCTGTTTATATCTCACATCTCGTACATTCTATATAGGTCTATAGTCTATATTCTATATAAAGTCTCTATTTATAATAATCTTAACTCATAACCTATATTTCGCTAGCTATATAAAGTCTCTATTATAAGTTATAAGTTCTGTCTCTTTTTATACATAAGTATATATAGCTAACGACTCTCGCCTATTTATAGTTCTTATTAAGTAGTTAAAAATCTTAGTTTAATCTACGTTTTTTATTTAATATATATTTCTAATTCTAAATCATGATATTATTTCTAACTCTTTATTAAACTCTTTTATAAGTAATAAAGATCGATATATATAATATTATATAAATATTACAAAATACTTTTTAATATATAATTAAAAAGATTAATAATATTCTTTTATTACTAATAAATAAGTCATCTTAGTAACATAGTTATTATATAATATAACATGATTCATAAGCGTCTAGCGTATATAAGCGTCTGACGTACTTTTCTTTTACATTATAACCTTCTAACTATCATACGCAATTATAATACAAGAAAATTAATTACTCTTTATATTATTATCTTTCTTAGATGTCTCTTTAATCTCCTAATAAGTTTATATATTATAATTAGTCTTATTACATCTTCTGTAATATTGTAAGTCTGATAATCTAGTCTATATAATATCTTTTATTATTAATCTTTTACTTAATTATTATTATATAATTGTTATAGCACGTGAATACACTAGGCACTGACAGGCCTTAGAGGCTGCACAGACCCTGTGTGAGGAGACCCTGGAACTAACCAAGCCTAAGGGGCTTAGCGAAAGGACACGCTTATGCAGAGACAACCTTGAGCAAGGTGTTCGTGAGGAGGGACTGATGAGCAACGCTCACGAGCGCTCATGAGTGAGCAGCCATGAGCACGAATCTCTTAGCCTATATAAGCACGCTTATTTCCTAGATAGTTTTATAGTCTTTGTAGTCAACTCATGTTATCAGCTCATATCTAAGTTGAAGACATCTTAGTATTATTTATTACACTTTCTGTTTTACTTAACTAACTCTTTAGACCTAGCTTCTAGTTAAGACTTGTCTTAATTAGTTAAGCTTTAATACTTTAATTATTATTCTTTAGAATATTAAATATAATAGAACAGATATTATATATATTACTTAAAGATATATACTATGTCTATTATCTTAGGGCTAATAAGTATTACTACTATTAAAGGCTAAGAAAAAAATATATAATTCAAAGTTATATTATTAGATTTATTTTATAAAAATAGAAAAAGACTTTAAAAGTTTTTAAATTAGTTACAAATTAACTTTTTATTTTATATATAAGTAATAAATATAGATAAAAAAAAGATCTTATATATAGTTACCTTTCTTTAAGGAGCTATATATAATTAGTTTAAACCTTACCTTAAAGACAAATTTAAAAAGGTAATAAAGGACTAAGAACTAGATACGTAATAAATCTTTTATAGTTTTATTAACTTTGTAATTAAGATTAAATAAGTATATAAAGATATAGATATAGTTAAGGAAGCTAAAAAAGACCTATTATAAATAAGGTAAAAAGGATCTATTATAAACTATACTTCTAAATTTTACTAGATTACCTTATAGATAAATTAAGAGGACTCTACTTTATTAGTCATCTTTTATAAAGAGCTAAAAGACTTTATTAAAGATAACTTATTTAAGATTAATTAGTAGTAGTAGTAAATTCTATTAACCTAATTCAGACTAAAAAGCCTATATAGGTCTGCTTGTTAATCTTTTCTCACTACTTGTACAGTCCTCCCTTCTTTATTTCTCTCCTTCCCCCTCCTTCCTCCTCTGTTCTGTCCTCTTCCTCCATTCTGTCCTCTAAGAAGAATTAAAATGATAAAAGCAAGTAAAGAATTTCTAGCAAGCTTATAATAGAGAGATGTAAGAAAGAATTATACTTATGTTGTAGAAAACCTAGCTATTATACTAAGGATTATCTTAACGTTAAAATCGCCTCCTTAAAAGAGACAGTAACCTAGTAGCATATATATGACTCACATGCGCTATCTATATATATATATTGTAATAGTAGCAGTCAGAACAATAAGATCTCAGCTATAACTGTAAATATAATCACGTATCTTTTCTGCGCCCTAGGCACTATTAGTAACGCGCAAGTATTCTATAGAGAACTTACTAGTATTCTTCTTACGCTTAGGCTCCTCCTAATCCGCTCTAATTCTCTTTTATCTAATTATATAGTTACTATTTACTTTAATAGTTAGGCAACCCTATAGTTTCTCTTAAAGGGTGACCTAATTTACTTTTAATTATTCTTTAAAGACATCTATTTAGCTATTAAGGAGCTTAGGTAGAAGGAAATCTCAACTAAACTATAATAGCTACCTAAATATAAAGGGATTAAGGGCAACAAAATAGTAGACGACTACGCTAATAAAGCAGCAAGGGCTATAGGCCCCCT